AGGAAGGTGAAGATCTTAAGGAAGGAGGTATCTATGAAGGGAATGAATAAGTGAGGTGTTTCCATTTTTTTTGTCTTTATTCTTGAAACAGTGGAGTTGGGTCAGTCATTTGGCCAGCAGGTAAGACACTATGTGGAACCCCCACATCCCTATCAGAGTGCCTGATTTGAATCCTCACTCCTCACTTCCAATCCAGCCTCCTACTGATGCATACCCTGGGAGGTACCAGGATATGGTTCAAATAATTGGGTCCTTGCCACATTCATGGGAAACCTGGATTGAGTTCCAGGCTATTGTGGGCATTTGGGAAGTAAACCAGCAGATTGAATATCTCTGCCTCTTTCTGTCTCTCTCTCTCTCTCTCTCTCTCTCTCTCTGTGTCTTTGTCTTTCAAATAAAATGAAAAAATTAAAATTAAAAAATACTAGACTTAAAGATAAAAATTAGGTAGATATTGCTAGATGACAAGGAAGACAAAACTTTAAGGAAAGCAATATGCTGTTCAAAAAACAAAAGCACTCTGCTTGATTCTGTATTTAAGATATTTTTGCTTTTTTCACATCTCTCAAATAATTCCATCTTCTCCAGCTCTACTATCACCACCCCCTCAAGACAGTTACTGTTGTTCTCTTATCTAGATTTCCATCCTAGCCTCTTACCTTGTTTTCTTGCATCCATTCTTGCCTATCTCAAATCTCTTTTCTATATTACACTCCATAGGGTGATTTTTTTTTCAGAATGCAAATCTGATTATGCCTTCTCTTTGTTTAAGTACTGAAGTTACTTCCTATAGCATTTAGAATCTAAATCATTAACATGCCCTACAAAGTTCCATATGGTCACATAGTCAAGTCCCCGTACACAGCAGTGCAATGGCAGCTGCTAAGAAACCCAAATGGATTTAGACAGTTTAATACTTACATAGACAGCAAAGCAAGATCAGGTTGGCATCAACTTTTCACACCCCACAGAGTTACGCTGAATTAAAGGGGCCAGATGACAGTATGAGCAGTGAGTTGCTTTGTTTTTGAGGAATGAACTCTAGGCTTCCGCTAGACAGTTTTATAGCCTTCAGCTATATTTGAAAGGGACAAAATTCCATGTCTTTGGGATAATGAAGGCAATGAGCAACTGCCCCATGGCAACCTTATCCAAGATAGGGAGCCTCTTGCAAGCTAAGGAGTCAGATGAGAAATGGCCTTTGATAGTTCCTCACAAGACTGTCCATTTTTCCATGTTATGAGGAGGCTCATAGGACATTGTGCCAACAGTTGAGTCTTACCAACAAGGCCTATATGGAGACATGCAATTGTCAGGGTGCCATGATGGAGCTGTTCTATAAACAGAGGCTGCCTTTTCTGTAATTGCAATCTCATCTTAGGCATTCTCTCTTACTTGCTGAGTATCAGTCACACTGAGCTTCTTTCAATTTCTCCAGTGTGCTGTGCTTCCCTTTGTCATAAAGCTTCAGTATATATATACACGTTATCCCGTCTGCCTAAAACACTTTCTCCTACCTCTTTGCTTTTTTCTTTTTTTTAAGATTTTTAAGATTTATTTACTGAAGAGGTAGAGTTTCACAGAGAGAGAGAGAGAGAGAGAGAGACAGAAGGGTCTTCCATCTGCTGGTTCACTCCCCAAATGGCCACAACAGCTGGAGCCAAGCCAAACCAAAGCCAGGAGCCAGGAGCTTTTTCCAGGTCTCCCTCTCAGGGGCCTAAATACTTGGGCCATCTGCTACTGCTTTCCCAGGCCATAACAGAGAGCTGGATCAGAAGAGGGGCAGCCAGGACACAAACTGGGGCATATGTGAGATGCTGGCATCGCAGGCAGAGGCTTAGCCTACTATGCCACAGCACTGGCCCCCTCTTTGCCTTTCTAACTCGCATTCTTTTTCAGTCTTCTGCCCAACCCTCCTGACCAGGACAATCCCACTGTTACCGCAAGGTACAGTGTACCTCTCCTTCATAGCATTTAGAACAATTCTAACTTTATATTAGTTGTATCATCTTGAGGTAATGTGATAGTAAATATGATACATTAATATGTTAGCTTATCACTTGATTTACAAATGCTTTTATATACTTAATTTCATTTTATCTGTGAGGTAAACAGAACAAATATTATTTTTAATTCTGTTTTTTTTGTTGATTGGTTTTCAGATGAAAGCCCATATAAAAATCTTTTTTTTTAACTTTTATTTAGTAAATATAAATTTCCAAAATACAGTTTATGGATTACAATAACTTCCCTCCCACTCGCACCCCTCCCATCTCCTGCTCCCTCTCCCATTCCATTCACATCAAGATTCATTTTCAATTATCTTTATATACAGAAGATCGATTTAGTCTATATTAAGTAAAGATTTCATCAGTTTGTACCCACAAAAATCTTTATTATGCCTTGTACTTTACTACTGTGTTTTTCCTGTGAATATATTAAATAAAAAACAGCACAAAGTAAGTGAGAGCCACAAAGCAAATGGCATATGGACCCAAAGGAAAGAGAAATCACTTCATATAAGTGATCACAATCAATCTCTTATAAAAAAAAAGTGCTGTTTGAGTTGCTTTGAAAATTAATAGACTTCTCATAGACAAGTAGGTGAAAGTCTCCCAAGGTAGTAGCAAAGACACAGTCACAGAAAGGCATGGGATTATTTGAAGAATGACAGCTGAATATGTTTTTGATGGATTTGTGCTTATTATGGGTGCTAGAAAAGAGAGTCTAGAATTAGATTATGCAGGACCTCGAATATGGAATTAATTTTGCTGGCGGTAGGAAATAGCTAACATTTCTAAGTTGGGAAATAATCTAAGTATATTCAAAGCCTTTCAGCCAGAGACACTAGGAAAGCACCTTTATTTCAGGAAAGTTGGATTTATTTATTATAGCAAATGAGAGTGCATCAACAGAACAAGGGATCATCGCAGAGAGTTGAGAGGAGCTTATTATAGAATTTCAGCTTTTTCTGACTGATTCTCTCTGTAGAGTTTAGGGAAAGCAGAGTTCAATTTTAGAAAGTGTGCTCTCATAAAGTGAAGTGGGATATTTTTATACATTTTATTTGGGAGTGGGAAGATTTAAAAACTAGCACTCATCTGTGTTAGCCAGAAGAGGGGGATATTTCTTTATTTTTGTGGCTCTTGAGTATTGTCCCTAGTTTCAGAAATAACTGCATGGTAGTCTTGTCTCTGCTACTATTATCACAGAGCGGCCTTGTCTGAGCATTATTTATATCCTCAAAAAAATATTTGTTTATATTCAACTGGGAACACTGGTTTAGCTAACTTCCAACTGCCAGGGACTTTTTTGTTACTTTTATCAGCACCCAATACTTTGATCTGCTCAGCCCTCAAAGTAACCAGACTATTGCCTTGTAAGCTCAGCAGTCTCATGCATTTACTCCAGGCTACCACACAAATATTATTCATTGTCTAGAAGTGCTGTGACTTGAGAAGGCTGATTGAAGAATGGCACTGCAAATTGAGCAAAAAAGGCTTGGTCATTTACTCCAACATTTCTTGTTCACAGAAAATCTATGCTCCAGCAAAAATAAGCTGATTTTGGTTCCTATAATCTTTGGTTTGCTGCCTTTTTTTTTTTTTTTTTTTTTGGACAGGCAGAGTGGACAGTGATAGAGAGAGAGAGACAGAGAGAGAAAGGTCTTCCTTTACCGTTGGTTCACCCTCCAATGGCCGCCGCGGCCGGCGCACCGCGCTGATCCGAAGCCAGGAGCCAGTTGCTTCTCCTAGTCTCCCATTCGGGTGCAGGGCCCAAGGACCTGGGCCATCCTCCACTGCACTCCCTGGCCACAGCAGAGAGCTGGACTGGAAGAGGGGCAACCGGGACAGAATCCGGCGCCCCAACCAGGACTAGAACCTGGTGTGCCGGTGCCGCAGGCGGAGGATTAGCCTATTGAGCTGCGGCGCCAGCCTGGTTTGCTGCCTTTGAGTATTAATGTCCTCTACCTGAAATATCTTCTTCTGATTCCTCCTTAAATCCAGAGCCTACCTGTCCTTCTGGACCAATTCAAATCTCTCCTTTCTTTATTGTTTCTACCAAGAGCTAAAACAAATATATAAAAACAAAAAAAAACTATTTAAAATATAATAAAAGAAATATATATTTGAGTGTATTAATTTTAGCTGAGGATAGTCAAGCTGGGAGAAATCTTTCTGTGATTTCATGAGCAAATTTCTTATTTCCCTAAAGCATGTATTTCTAATATCTATTAAATATGTTTGATGTCCTATTTACTAACTGTTGTCAGTTGTGTCATCAAAGTATCATGAAATTTGCTTCTTTCAGGGTTCTCGGGCTTAAGTATAAAACAAAGAAAGGTTTTAAAACTCCACTCTTGTCCTTACCCCATTCAGGGCAGAAGTTATTAATATTCTTTGTATTTAGCTCTATTTAAACCAGAGAGGTTGAGAGAAGTTTATAGGAGGCTAGATTTTTCTTACAAAAAGCTGGGGATGGGGCTAATAGTGAGACAGGGGCTGTTACCAGAAATATCTTTCAAAAATTACATGGGCTGAGGCCGGCACTGTGGCATAGCAGGTAAAGTCCACAGCCTGCAGTGCCGGCATCCCATATGGGTGCCGGTTCAAGTCCTGGCTGCACCACTTCTGATTCAGCTCTCTGCTATGGCCTAGGAAAACAGTAGAAGATGGCCCAAGTCTTTGGGCCCCTGCATCCATGTGATAGACTAGGAAGAAGCTTCAAGTTCCTGGCTTCAGATTAGCCCAGCTCTGGCCGTGGCAGTCATTTAGGGAATGAACCAGCAGATAGAAGACCCCTCTGTCTGTCTGTCTGTCTGTCTCTCTCTGCCTCAGTAACTCCGCCTCTAAATAAATACATCTTTTAAAAAAATTACATGGGCTAACAGTTGAGGAAGTATGAACATCATAATCTTTTTGTACTAAAAAGAGACTGGAAAAAATTATATTAAATTTATAATAATAAAGTAATAAATGAGTTTGTTTTTCTTAATTTAGGAATGACTACTTGCAAAAAACCTGGGAACCGAGAATGTAATCATCCTTGTAAAAATAAACAAACATGTGGACATGACTGCTGTGAGTTTCATTAAACAAGTTTATTTCAGGCATTAGAAACTGAAGGATCTTTCATGAATACTAATGACATCCTAATTATCTATGCATGATACTTATATCGTGCAACTTATAGCTGTCAAAGAATTTTTCTTTTTTGGACAGCATTTTAAAAAATAAATATTAGATTTGAAAATTTGAAGAAATTTGGCTTTATATGAACAGTACCTGAATTTCAACCTGAAGAATCTAAAATTTCTTTTCATAGGTAAAACTGGAGTTGCACAGAAATCAGAAATTAGAGACTCACCAATTTCTTCATATTTATCTGATTTAAGAAACAGGAATGCCTGTTCATCTCTTCCTCCAGTTAAACGACTCAAGGTTAATTTTGATAACATTTATTCCTGTGTTCTGTATTTAGTTATATATCAATATTATTTGTTCTGGATACCAATTAGGTAGATACCTAATGTATACTTTGGAACTAATTACTTGTGGGATTGACTACGAAAATTACCATTATTTTATTTAAATTTTTTTTGACAGGCTGAATGAACAGTGAGAGAGACAGAGAGAAAGGTCTTCCTTTTGCCGTTGGTTCACCCTCCAATGGCTGCCGTGGCTGCTGCGGCCGGTGCATCGCGCTGATGCGAAGCCAGGAGCCAGGTGCTTCTCCTGGTCTCCCATGCAGGTGCAGGGCTCAAGGATTTGGGCCATCCTCCACTGCACTCCCTGGCCACAGCAGAGAGCTGGACTGGAAGAGGGGCAACCGGGACAGAATCTGGCGCCCCAACCGGGACTAGAACCTGGTGTGTTGGCGCCACAAGGCGGAGGATTAGCCTATTGAGCCACGGCGCCGGCTTTGGAAAATTACCATTATTGAAAATCAGTACTTAAATCTGCTTTTGATACATATTTATTCTGCCCATTCCTCATCAGCCCTTTTTTCTCCCCTTATTCCAAGAAGGGAGAAAAGGGGGAAATATTCAGGAACTGAATCTGGGCATTCTTGTCCTTTCCTGACTCCATCTGGCTTGGACTGGGCTGGAAAGTCTGAAGCTGATTTTGATTCCTTTTTTTTTTTTTTTTTTTTGACAGGTAGAGTTAGAGAGAGAGAGATAGAGAGAGAGAGGTCTTCCTTCCGTTGGTTCACTCCCCAAATGGCCAGGAGCCAGGTGCTTCTTCCTGGTCTCCCGTGCGGGTGCAGGAGCCCAAACACTTGGTCCATCCTCCACTGCCCTCCCAGGCACAGCAGAGAGCTGGACTGGAAGAGGAGCAACCGGAACTAGAACCTGGCGCCTATATGGGATGCCAGCACTGCAGGCGGAGGATTAACCAAGTGAGCCACGGCGCCGGCCCCTGATTTTGATTCTTGCACCTATTTTTATACTGAACAAGTGATGAAGGAATGAGGGTTTTACTGCTTGGTAGGCTAAGTCAAAGGCAGACTTATCTTAAACCTGTCATCATAACCCAGAAAATCCCTTTTCTAAGAATTTTTAAAATTAATTTATTTATTTGAAAGTCAGAGTTACACAGAGAGAGGAGAGGCAGAGTGTGTTGTGGGGGATCTTCCATCCAATGGTTCACTCCCCAATTGGCCGCAATGGCCGGAGCTGTGCCGATCCAAAGCCAGGAGTCAGGAGCTTTTTCCGGGCCTCCCACACGGGTGCAGGACCCCAAGGACTTGGGCCATCCTCTACTGCTTTCCCAGGCCACAGCAGGGAGCTGAATCGGAAGTGGAGCAGCCGGGCCTCGAACCGGAGCCCATTTGGGATGCTGATGCTTCAGGCCAGGACGTTAACCTGCTGTGCCAAAGCACCAGCCCTCTAAGACTTTTTTAAGAGTGAAAATTCTGAGTCATAAAGCTAAAACAAGGGAATGTTGGGAAACAGAGAGAGGCATGAGGTTTGAAATGGTCATCACCTTCTGAATGTTTTAGTAGCATAAGTTTCTTTTTCTACTTTCTTTCCTTCTTTTCTTCCTTCCCTGCCTCTTTACTTCTTCCTTTCCTTTCTGCTTCTCTTCCCCCTCTCCTTCCCTCTTTCCTTTTTTCCCCCTATTATTCCTTCTTTCCATATTCAGTGAGCACCAAGAATATGTCAGGGTGCTAAAATATAGTGATGAGTAAGAGTTTTATTTCTAATCCTCGTAGAATAAATAAATTTTTTATTTTTTTATTTTTATTTTTTTTTTGACAGAGTGGACAGTGAGAGAGAGAGACAGAGAGAAAGGTCTTCCTTTGCCGTTGGTTCACCCTCCAATGGCCGCCGCGGCCGGCGCGCTGTGGCTGGCGCGCTGCGGCCGGCGCACCGGGCTGATCCAAAGCCAGGAGCCAGGTGCTTCTCCTGGTCTCCCATGCGGGTGCAGGGCCCAAGGACTTGGGCCATCCTCCACTGCACTCCCAGGCCACAGCAGAGAGCTGTCCTGGAAGAGGGGCAACCAGGACAGAATCCGGTGCCCCGACCGGGACTAGAACCTGGTGTGCCGGCGCCGCAAGGCAGAGGATTAGCCTATTGAGCCGTGGCGCCGGCCCAGAATAAATAATTGAATTAAGAATACAAAAAAGTAAACAGGCCTTTTCAATATAGTGTGATATATGAGTCTGTGACAGAAATATAAGATACTTGAGTTCAGATAGAAAGTGTACTCAATTCAAATTTAGTGGGCTAAGGAAGGATTCCTAATTGAGAATTGAGAACTGCACGATAAGTCAAATATGGAAGGGTAGAGTATCAAAATGGTGATGGGAAAAGGTAGAAAAATATTCCAGACATAAACAATATACAGAGTTTCTGGGACAGGAGACAGATAAAGATCTTTAAAGGAACTGAAATAATACATTATGTTTTGAGTTCAATTATAAGTAGAAAAGTATAGACAGACAAAGCTGAAGAGGTAAGTAGGAGCTAGATCATGCAGACCCTTTTGCTATTTCAGGGATTTATACTTTATCCTGAAAGTATTGGGAAGTCACTGAAGGGCTTTAATCAGTGAATGATCAGAATTGTGTTTCATAAAGTTCACTCTGGCTGCGGTGTAGAGAAGGGATTAGGGGATGATAGAATAGAAACACAGGGACTCATTAGGTGATTTTTTTGCAATAATCTGAGCAAAATGATGGCCTAGAATAGGAGAGCCAGTAGCAAGGGAAAGAAGTGGCTGGGTTTAAAATATTTTTCAGGGTAGACTCAACTACCTTGGTCCCTCATTGATTGTGAGGAGTGACATTAAAGGTGTAGTCAAATTGATGCCCAGCTTTCTGGCTTGAGGAATGGGAAGAAAAGTTGGACTTTACTAGGTTAGTAACTCTAGAGAAAAAGCAAATTTGGGGAAGCAGACTTAGGATAAATTCAGTTCCATAAATTCTGAATTTAGAGACTTGCAAATGTCTACGTAAAGATATCCTGTAGACAGTTGGATATAACTGTGAAAATCAGTAGAGCAGCTGAGCTAGAAATACAGTTTTGAGAGTCATTCACATGAAGAGAAGTCCTGGGAGTACACAGATTTTTCATTGAGAGTATATAGAATGTAAAAAGAAGAAGGCCTAGTAAAGAAGCATGAAGAATGCCTACATTTAAGAAAGAGATTGATTGGAGAACTCCCCTCAGTTTCTCCTAATTCATTGATTTCTGAACTTTATAAACTAGCAGGGATTTTGTTCTTGGTATGTTTGGTCTTCATATGAAATTGATAGTTGAACTTGTATTTTTTTCATTAATAGATTCAGATGAATAAACCTCAAAGCGTGAGCCTTACAGAGTTTGGTTTTACTCCAAAACCTTCCCTACCCAGTATATCAAGGTACAAATATAATGTTAATGTCTAAGATAAAATATTCATCTTGAAGTCTTTGTTCTATCAGATACCTGCTTTTCAGGGAAACGTGGTCACTATTTATACGCAGAAAATCACAGTAATCATTTATTTCTGTAATGAAGCAATGATACTAGAATTTCATGATCTTTCATACCTAAGATTTATTTAGAACTGTACGGTTATAGAATACATTAACATTCATTGAATCATCTACAGGTAGCCCTCATCAAATCATCTCTTTCCTAGGAAACCTATCTTGTACGCAACTCCCTTAGGTTCTCTCTTCTTTCTAAGCTAAGTGACAGTAGTATATTTACTATACTTTAAAAAGGGAAATCTTGTTAGCGTACAAAGTCTAACCTTTCTATTAAGATGCTCATTCTATATTAAAAACACCTCAGATTTATAAAATATGGTATAATTTAAAAATCACACCTTTGTTGACAACTAGCTCATAAAATAAAGTATTTTCATCTCATTTTACAGATGAGAAAGCTGAAGCTCATATTCCATATTAGTAAGCAGAAGGTCCTAGACAGTAACTGAGCATTCCTTTCCTGTGTCATGATGCCTAGAAGACTACAGTATATGAATAATTTCCCATCCTGACAAGGGCATTCTATAGGAAGAGAGGACATCTAATATTTTGTAACAACCATTACAGAGTGGGAACTAAGCACTCAGAATACCTGATACCAGCATGACTTCTAGAGATCTCAGCTTTTCTTATCTAATTAAAAACATTAGCATTAGATTTTTAAAGACTATACACAGATAGCAGATATCTACTGGGAGCATGTAAGGAGACTGAGTATTGGTCACTTCCCAAGCTTGGTACAGTTTATCATGGAAGCATTGAGTGGAGAAGCCACATTTTAAAAAATTTATATGAATAAGCTAGATTTGTTTTCTTATTTCCTTTTAACATGTTTATTATTTTATTTATCTTTATAAAGGTTGGAATATTCAAATATACCTGAATTGCCTCTAATGGAACAATGGGATCAGCATAAAATCTGTGGAAAAATCCAGCAAGAGCCATCAGAATATCAAGACAAAGGTAAGGTAAATTATCATTGCTATTGACTTGAGAGGGAATATGACTTATCATTACTTCAGGTTGACAGGTAAGGTTTTTGAAAAACCAACATCTGAAATTATTATGATTATTAACAACATTTTTCTCTAGGATTAGTGAACCAGTTTCAAACTCTTGATTTTGTTATTTCAGATGGTATTGTCTTATAGATTTTACAGTGGGGTAAGGAGAAGTTTCACTATGTTCCTAAATATATATATATATATATATATATATATGAAATACATGAAACTTGTATAATTTAAATAAAATTTAAAAATAAAAAACTTCTATATAGTGTTAGCTATTTTAATGAAAGATAATATGAGAAAAAACTAAGAAAAATAAGGAATCCTTGGTCCAACAGAGTGTAAAAATGCTGAATTATTACTTACATATGTCCTTAGAATTATTTTAAATTATTTATAGAATTAGTATAATTGTACAAAATAGCTGTGTGACCTTCAGCAAATTATTCAGCTTCTTTGGACCTTAGTCTTACCTTCAAAGTGAATAGATTGAAATTGGTGACCTTTAGTATCTCTCCAATGCTTAAACCTATGATTGTTAAGATTTCTATAATGAGACTGTAACGTAGGTTTGGGGATATAGTTGATGTGCAATCTTGATTTGCTTTTTGTTTGTACCTGTCACATGAGACTATTAATTCTTTAACACTGTGCCTGGTCATTCATTACTCTAGATCCTGTCATTAGTAGCATAATTCCCTGAATCATGCTATTAATAGCCAGTCTTTTTTAGTGTGTGAGAAATAATCCTGGCCAGTGAGCTGTCTGCTCAAATGGCTCTACATAAATGCAAATGAAATAGTAAGCTTAGGGTTTTCTGAAAGTAATTTTCTGTGTTTGCCATTGGCTTCTTCTATTGCCGCTCTTTTCTTCATGCTGTCATTTATCTTCATTTAGTCATAATTTACAATCTAAAGAGGGCAAGGGCTGGAGTAGCTATCACCTCTTGTGACACCATGGCAGCCATTGGGCCCCATATGAGATTAATGAAAACCTCCTAATCTCACCTAAAGAATTTGAGAATTTATCCAATTTGTTCAAAGCCTGAATGTCATTAAAATATGGATATGTGTTATAAAATTGTAAAACCTTTTATTTTTATCTGCCTTCAACTTCTTATTCCCTCCTTATACTACTGCTCTATTCCCTGCCTTTCTTTATGACAGTTTATCTTTCCATTTGCTTACTTTTTATAGTGTATGGGTATTTACATAATTTTCCTTTTATTTCTTTCTCTTTTTTAAAATATTTATTTATTCGAAAGGCACAGTTACATAGAGAGAGGAGAGGTGGGGGGGGGGTGTCTTCCATCCAATGGTTCACTCCCCAATTGGCTGCAACCGCCGGAGCTGCACTGATTGGAAGCCAAGAGCCTGGAGCTTCTTCTGGGTTTCCCATGTGGGTATAGGGGCCCAAGGACTTGGGCCATCTTCTACTGCTTTCTCAGGTCCTAGCAGAGAGCTGGATCGGAAGTGGGGCAGCCGGGTCTCGAACCGGTATGGGATGCTGGCGCTTCAGGCCAAGGCGTTAACCCACTGAACCACAGTGCCAGCCCCATCCTTTTATTTCTTTCTAATCCACTATCCCAAATACAACTTATATTTTGATACAGAAAGGTACCATATTGGTATTTTAACTCTCCAATTAATAATAGTATTCTGTTTTACTGAGTGGGCCACATTTTTTTTTTTTAAATGGAACCATATAAAATGGTAGTTAAGCTCACAGGATCTGAAAATTATCTGTCTGTGTCCAAGTCCTTGCTCTGCCATTTAGTAGAACATTTCATAGTATATTTAACTACTTTTCTTAGTTCCCTTATCTGGCTATATTTTGGAGATTTTAGGATTAAATAAATTGTAAAGGTCTTAAAATTTTATCTAGTATTATTAATAGAAGTAATTGAGTATATTTATTATATTTTCCATGCATTAGTCATTGTTGGTAAAACATACTTTAAATTCATTCAAAAGCTGCTTTTGTAAGTGTCTTGAGAAAACATGGCATTTTTTATCATCTGTATTCTAATTTTGAAAAAAGAAGAAGAAAAATGTCAAAATTATATGTGGAAGCATACTGAATCATAAAATTTAAATTGAAAGGGACTTTTGTGCAATTTCTCATTTTATAGTGAAAGAAGTCAAGACTGATAGATTAAATGACTTGCCCAGAATCACATATCTAATTAATAGCAGGACCAGAAATAGTTTCCATATCTCTTGATTCCTAGTCCAGTGCCATTTTTATAAAACAGAATTGACTTTTAGTTATCAGAGGAGAACTGAAAATCAAGCCAATAATATATGAACTCTTTCAATTTTTCACCTTTTCTCACATACCAACCATATACTTCTCTGTCTCTGAACCCATCCATAGCCCTCTATTTGTTTTGAAAGAAGAAATTGCCTTTTCTTCTATTTGAAGTTTGTTTCTCCCACTATATTCTTAATCCTATCCAATTCTGCCTTCTCTTGAACTTTAGGAGACGAGTTAGTCTTATCCTGTTTCCTGTATTTCATTCTGTCCTGTCAGTTGTTTCTTTCTTGTTAGCATATGAATAAGCTCAGGTCTTCCTTCTTTAGCTCTATGTCCCCATCTAGCTAGCTGGGGCCTTTTTGATTATACACTTATAATCAAATAGTGTAGAAGTAGTAGAAATTCTACTCAAAGTGACTTAAGCATGAAAATGGTAACTGTTCATGCAAACTAAAAGTCAAGACATGCATTTGGGTAGATCCAGGCACTCTACTGAGCTCAATATGCCTTTGGCTTTCTCTGAATCTTCTAGCAGTGCCTGTTGCTGACTGACTTATTTAAACAGGCTTTCTTCATGTCAAGTCCCTTCTAACTTATCTTCCCGGTTTAGCAGCCTCCGTAGGAAAAACTCATCTTCCCTGTTAGTTTTGGCAAGCTGGAGTTCATTCTAACTGGCTTCATTTAAGTCATGTGATCATCTTTCATCAAGCCTAGTAGCCTGAGAACTGGGTGATGTAACTCCAGAGTGTCATGAATTATGGCCTCACTAGGATCAAATGGCATGGTGGAGGCAGTTTCCCCAAAGGAAAAGAGGGCTGTTCTCACTAACAGAAAGGAAAGAATGTCAGGCAAATGAAAAAAAAAAAAAACAAAAAAACAAACAAACAAAAAAAAACAGAATCCTCAAGTCTTCACCCTCTCACTTTTGCTATTTCAACAAACAAAAATTCTTGAAAGCAATTTGTATTTGGTACATCACTTTTTTACATCTTAATCAGTCTTCCTTAATTAAAGTTTGGATTCTTTCTCCATCACCCCTTAAAAATTACTTTTGCTCATTTAGTTAACTTCTAAATATTGAACTCAGTGAACTATTTCAACTTTTTTTTAAAAGATTTATTTATTCATTTGAAAGTCAGAGTTACACAGAGAGAAGAGAGGCAGAGAGAGAGAGAGAAAGAGAGAGAGAGAGAGAGAGGTCTTCCATCCAATGGTTCACTCCCCAATTGGCTGCAACAACTGGAGCTGTGCCAGGAGCCAGGAGCTTCCTCCAGATCTCTCATGTGGGTGCAGGGACCCAAGGACTTGAGCCATCTTCTACTGCTTTCCCAGGCCATAACAGAGAGCTGGACTGGAAGAGGAACAGTTGGGACTAGAACCGATGGCCATATGGGATGCCAGCACTTCAGGCCACAGCGCTGGCCTCTCAACTTTTACTTATTTATTTATTTATTTTTACCTTTTGAGGTATTTGATACTTCTGGTATTTCTTCCTTTTGGAAATCTCTCCTTTGGCTTCAGTTAAACCGTTCTGTTGATTCTTGTGCTTCTTCTTAGGCTTCTTGGGATTTTCTTCCTGTTGATGTTGGCAAAAGGATTCTTCCTTTTCTTCCTCTTCTTTCTTCCCACTTTTGCTTCCACTTCTTGCTTCTTTTTGCTTCTTGATTGTTCTCACTTCAAAAGCATTTCCTAGAAAATATAAGTCAAGCCTATGCTTTAAGTCGTTAACTATATTTTTATGATTTCTAGGTTTGTATTTCTTGTCTAGGTCTTTCTTTCTAACTTCAAGTCATATAATCACTTTCCTGGACCTATCCACCCAAAAATCAACAGGTTAGCAACTGAACTGTTTCTTCCCATCTTCCTAAAGTCACTCTGCTCTTCTTTTTTTCCTTAGCTAGGTGAATATATCCTCTTCTACGCTACTAAAGCTGATTATTCTAAATATCTCACTCCACAAATAATTCCCAAATCTTATTTTGTCCAGTACATCTCTCACAGACGTTCTTTCCTCTGTACCTTTCTATTGATATTCTAGCTTAGACATTTATTTAGTCACTCATTTATTGTAATAACTTTGTTATTTTCTCTCTGCTTCCAGTCTCATTATCTTGCAATCCGTACCTATTCCAAGGGATCTAACAGGTGTACCTGATCATTTAAACCTGTTGATAAAATGTCTTCTAGTTGCCTCTTGACCATAAGAAGAAAAAAATCCTGTTAACATGGCAAAAAAGTATCAATGTGATTTATCACTTAGGTGTCTGAGTAGTCTCAGTGTGTCTTGTCTTTTTCCTCTACTTTGTGCTCCAGAAATCCTAAAAATTTGCAGTTCCCAGTCTCTCATTCTGCTGTGTTTTTTACATGCTATTCTCCCTTCATGGAATGTCTCCTTCTTATTCTGCTCTACAACCACAGATCTACCATCCTCTAATTTCTCCTACTGTTCCTACATGTATTATCACCTTACAAGAGTCTATCTGACTCTATATGCAGATTTAGGTCCTCTTTCCTCTGTGTTCCCTTTGCACTTTGTACTACTTCCATTTTTAGTACATATCATATTGTGTGTGTATGTGTGTGTGTGTGTGCCTATCAATGTACAAGAGTAGAACTGTGTGAACTATAGTTGTAGGTATGGTTGAAAGATAAGGTAGGAGTTGGACAGATAAAGAAGAGGATAGTATTTGCAGTGAAGGAAACTGTGGAGTACTAAAGCAAGCCTGCACTGGCTTATGAGAGCTTATTGCTAAATTTTCAGGAAACTCAGCTATTATTAAAATTTCAATTATACAAATTTTCAGTTAAATAAATTATGTTAAAAACAAATCAAAAGAAATACTCAAATCCCATAACTTTCTAATTATTCTATTACATCTAACTTGTTTTCTGTGTTCCTGAGGTTATTTATACATTTGGTGGAAATACTGCTAATTAAAATTTAAAGAATTAAAGGGATGGTTCTGTGCATTTATTCCCAAGTTCTTATTCACTGATGTCACATTAGTAGTTATGAGTGTATTTTTACCATGGAAATCAGTAAATACTACTAATCAGGAATTGATTTACTGTTTAGATTTAAAACCATGATGAATAACATGTTAATAGTAGAGATTAAATTCAACAGTGTGCTGTGTCTTTAGCCATGACATTGTGAATAACACAGAAAATTGAGGGAAGATTCTTCTAGTGTTTGAAAACTGCTAATTCTAAGGAACTTAAGAATGTCCCTTAAAGTGAATTTCATCTTACTTGTTAAAGTCAATAAAAATGTCAACCAATATTTATATAAAAACTAAACTCATTTATTAATTGCAACCAGAGGTTGACTATAGATAAAAGAGTGGTAAACTCAATGAAAATCAGTTAGTTAAATGTAACTTACAATTAAGCATGCTATATATATTATTTGTAAAATATGTGCTACTGGCATTCTTTATGTCAGTAAATTTCAGTAAAAAATACTTGCATGTAGAGAGATAGTTATTAAACATTTGTTAGTATACTACTATGCAAAACTGTACAAGTCAAGTAATTTTGTCCCCATAACAATGTTTTGAAGTAGGTACTATTATTATGCCCATTTTGCAGAGAAGAATTTTAGAATCAGGCAGTTTGAATTACTTAAGAATATACAACTAATAAATGACAGAGGTAGAATTTTCACCCAGATAGTCTGCTCTAAATTCTGGCTATAAACAATAAGAAGGGGCCAGAGCTGTGGCATAGTAGGTTAAGCCTCTGCCTGCAGCACTGGCATCCCATATGGGCTGATCCAACTCCCTGCTTGCTAATGGCCTGGGAAAGCAGTAGAAGGTGGCCCAAGTGCTTGGGCCCCTGCACTCATACGGGAGACCCAGAAGAGGCTCCTGGCTCCTGGCTTTGGATAGGCCCAGCATTGGCTGTTGCAACTATCTGGGGAGTGAACCAGTGGATGGAAGACCTCTCTGTCTAACCATCTCTCTGTAAGTCTGTCTCTCAAATAAATAAATAAATGTTAAAAAAATAAGTAACACCGAGGATCTTCTGGCAAGAGAAAGATACAGATAAGCTTTAGACAGTATGTTCAAACATTCTTCAAAATTAACTTTCCAGAAGATGAACTGGAGAAGGAAGACCATTTTAGAAGCTGTCACAATCCAATCTTGGAGTGGAGTTATTCTAAAATAGGAATCAAGAGGAAAATTTAATTGTGTCTGAAAGAATCTATTGAAAATTAAATTTAGTGTGACTATCTGTATATGTAGTACAAAATAGAATTGGCTGAACACAATACTCAACAATGCTTGACCCAATGCTTTTGAAAATTACTATGGAAGAACACTGTTTAGTAGTTGAAAGATTTGTTTGATATGTCAATATAAAATGATGCTTGTAGTTTAAAAAGTACCTATACTCTTTTATACATATACATAACAGATTTTTCTAGATGGAATGAGAAAGCTGTACAAACAGTGCTGGTCAACAGAAATCTTAGCATGTCTGGAAACCAAAATTTGACAGATGCAGATAAAAGCAACTCTACATTTTCAGAAGTTTTGAATGTGAACTTTGAATTGGAAAATGAAGTTTGGGATGATTTTGATGATGAAAATTTAATAGAAGTTACTAACTTTTCATATGATGAGAAGACAAAAACATCAGGTAAAATTATATTTTAGCATGAAATAACTTCATTAGAAATTCTTTAAATATTTTTCATTTTGGATTCTGGCACTAATTTTCCTTGCCTTTGTGTGTGTGCTTGCTTAATTAAATTTAGTTTCTTGAGATTATAATTTTAAGGGGCCAGCATTGTAACATAGCAGGTAAAGCCACTGCCTTCAACACTGGCATCCCATATGGACGATATACCAGGTGTTCCACTTCCAGTCCTGACCCCTGCTAATGGTCTAGGAAAAGCCCCACTCACGTGAGAAACCTGATTGAAGCTCCTGGCTCCTGATTTCAGCCTGGCTCAGTCCTGGCCATTTCAGCCACTTGAGGAGTGAAACTGTGGATGGAAGATTCTCTCTCTCTCTCTCTCTCTCTCTCTCTCTGTGTGTGTGTGTGTGTGTGTGTCCCGCACTCTCTGTAACTCTGATTTTCAATTAAATAAATAAATATTTATAATTTTTTAGCAAAACTGAAATGATGACCCTTCCACAAAGAGTGTTTCTTCCCTTCAGAACAGAGGTCAAGATTCCATGATGATGATATAGCAAAGGAAGTTTTGTAGTCTGTTGCTTTTCTTTCTTATCAAAAATCCTACTCAAATTTTGATTGATGATTGAATTTTCCCCCATAAAAGAGACTATCCTACTTGTAATTCTTTTTGTTTTTTAAAGGATTTATCTATTTGTTTATTTATTTATTTGAAACTCAGAATAACGGAGAAAGAGAGAGAAGGAGAGAGAGAGAGAGAGAATGAATATTCCATCTGCTGAGTCACTCCAAATGCCGAAACAGCCAAGGCTGGGACAGGTCAAAGCCAAGAGGCAGGAGGCAGGAACTCCATTCTAGTCTCCACCACAACATTGGCCCCTCTTACTCTTCATTTTTAAGATGATACAAAAGTATTCCATTTTTTAAAAATATTCATCTGCAGGCCAGCGCCGCAGCTCAATAGGCTAATCCTCCGCCTGTGGTGCCTGCACACATGGCTCTAGTCCCCGTCGGGACGCCAGATTCTGTCCCGGTTGCTCCTCTTCCAATCCAGCTCTCTGCTGTGGCCCAAGAGTGCAGTGGAGGATGGCCCAAGTGCTTGGGCCCTGCACCCGCATGGGAGACCAGGAGAAGCACCTGGCTCCTGGCTTCGGATCAGCGCAGTGCACCGGCTGCAGCACGCCAGCCGCAGCGGCCATTGCGGGGTGAACCAATGGAAAAAGGAAGACCTTTCTCTCTGTCTCTTTCTCTCACTGTCCACTCTGCCTGTCAAAAAACAAAATTCATCTGCTTGCAAAGAAGTAACATTTTTGGTCAAAATGCCTTTTCAGGTATACATATTAAAAAGGGTACATTTCTCCTATATTAGAAATTGTATTTAAGTCCTAAAAAACTAAAAATAATGAGAATTGGGTTTTTGAGTTAAAGGCAAATTTACTGTATTTCACTTAAGCAGAGAAATGGAAATCTTGGATAGTATATGACAAGATAGCAAATAAAGAAACTCTCCCCCATAAGAGCTAATAAAAGGAAATCAGTCCCTAAGCCTTCTCAATATAGGCTCTTATTCCCATAAACATAGTTGTCTCTTAACATACCCCACCATGTGCTATTAAAAAAAAATCTCACTGGGGCTGGCATCACAGCATAGCAAGTAAAACTGCCACCTGAAATGCCAGTATCTCAAACAGGCAACAGTTCATATCTCAGCTGTTCCACTTCAGATCCAGCTCCCAGCTAGTAGCCTGGGGAAAGCAGCAGAGGATGGGCAAGTGTTTGGGCTTCTGCTACCCATGTGGGAGAACCAGATGAAGCTTCCGGCTCCTGGCTTTGGCCTGTTCCAGCTCTGGCCATTGCAACCATTTGGGGAGTGAACCAGTGGGTAGAAAATTTCTCTCTGTGTCTCCCTCTCTTTCTAACTCTGTCTTTCAAATAAATAAATCATCTTTTTAAAAAATAATCTTTCTAGGGGAAGCAGTTAGAAGTTAAAATGTTATTGTTTTAGGGGTCCAATAATTACCTAAACAGTGATTTTAAAAAAAAAACAACTTTATATATTATATAGAAAGGTAAAGCGACAGAGATAAAGTGAGATCACCCATCAACTGGTTCACTCCTCAAAAGTCAGCAACAGCCAGGGCTGGGCTGGGCTAAAATGAAGGCAGGAGCCTGGAACTCAATCTGGGCCTCCCACATGGGTGATAGGGACCCAAGTGATTGAGCTATCACTTACTACCTCCCAGGGTTCACATTATCAGGAGGCAAGGATTGGGAATGGAGCTGGGACTCAGACCCAGGTACCTTGATGTGGGATATGGGCATTCCAAGAGGCATGTTAGCCACTGTGCCAGATGCCTGCCACAAGAGCCAATACTTCTCTCTAAAAGATCAGGATTTGACCACCTTAGAAAATAGGCCAGGAAAGTCTCCATGATTTGGAGTCAGTAGGCACAGTTTCCTGTATCACTAGACAACTACTGATCCCTATCTCAAGTGTTGGGGCCAGCGCTATGGTGCAGTAGGTTAATCCTCCACCTGCAGAGCCAGCATCCCATACGGGCACCGTTTCTAGTCTAAGATGTTCCTCTTCTGACCCAGCTCTCTGCTGTGGCCTGAGAAAGCAATATAAGGTGGCCCAAGCACTTGGGCCCCTGCACCCACACGGGAGACCCAGGAGAGGCTCCTGGCTCCTGGCTTTGAAACAGTCCAGCTCTGGCCGTTGCAGCCAACTGGGGAGTGAACCAGTGGATGGAAGACCTCTCTGTCTCTGCCTCTCTCTGTCCATAACTCTACCTCTCAAATAAATAAATAAAATCTTAAAAAAAATTATTGTCATTATGTATTGTACTGTGTTCCGATCTTTTAAGGTGGCCTAAACTTATAAGGGAATAGCTTTGTCATTGGGAAAATTAGTCTCAATAAATATCATTTTGCACCAGGTATATAGCATTTTAAATAATTACATGAAGACCACTGAAAATATTGAACCAATTTTGACTTAATCCTTTACATGAATTAAAATAAATATATAAGTGATAGTTTGATAGCAATCAGCATAGTGATTAATAGGCTTACTTATATGTTTTATAGTTTTTCTCCTATAACTTTTTGCCTTTGTTTCTTTATACAAATTAAATTTGATTATTGAGAAGAATTATTCCTTCCTGCCTTGTAGAACTTGTGAAAGCTTCATTCAGCTGTTTCCTGGTATTTTATTTCAAAATGTTGTCTCTTTACATAGGATTTGGAAGCACTTTGAGTTCAAGTATCAGAGGAAGTGAGCTACCTTTCCAGGAGTCAAAGAGCAAATTCCAAAGAGAAATATCAAACAGGCAAGTTTTGGAACTTTGGTTTGTAATATTTGGAACTTTATATCCTCTAGACACATAATTAGAGATGGGCACTATGCTACAAATCCAGCCCTAGAGGGATGTTTCTTAGAGGCTGTTGTCAAACTCCTGCACCAAAACCATGCTTGGGTGCATATTAAAACTGTACATTCTGTAAATTTAAAACATGTTATCTCAAAAACTAAAAATCAGAAAGGAATATGAAAGAAGGGTGGAAGGGAGAAGGGGGGAGGGAGGAAGGCAAAATCATTATGTTCTTAGAACTGAATCTACAAACCATTTGCTTCTTTTAAAAACTAATTAAAATTTAAAAATAAAAAATGGCAAAATAAATAAAATCCTTTTTTTAAAAAATGTACATTCTGAATTCTACATTAAAGAATTATGGTCTCGTAGCCAGCACTGTAGCGGGTAAAGCCACCATCTGCAGTGCCAGCATCCCATATGGGCACCATTTCAAGTCCTGGCTGCTCCACTTCCAATTCAGCTCTCTGCTAATGCTCCTGGGAAAGCAGTGGAGGATGGCCCAAGTACTTGGGCCCCATACCCACATGTGAGACCCGGAAGAAGCTCCAGGCACCTGGCACAGCCTTGGTTGTTGCAGCCATTGGGGAGTGAACCAACTGATGGGAAGATCTCTTGCTCTCGCTCTCTGCTACTCTGCCTTTCAAATAAATAAATAAATCTTAAAAAAAAAAATTCATGGTCTCTAGAGCCCAGGAATCTTTATTTTTCACAAGCCTTGAAGATTGCAGAGTTTTTAAACTTTTTTTTTTTTTTTTTTTTTTACTATTCATTTTTTATTCATTTGAAAAGCAGTGAGAGAAATCTTCCATCTGCAAGGACTTGTCCAGGCCAAAACCAAAGCCAGGAATTCAGTCTGGGTCTTGCTCATTGGTGGAAGATACTCAAATACTTCAGCCATCATCTGCTGCCTCCTGGGATACACATTAGCAGGAAGTTGGATTGAAAATAGAATCACCAGGACTCAAATCAGGCACTCTTATATTGAATGTGGGTAACCCAAACAGCTTTTCAAGCCACTTTAGCACAGTGCCCACTGCCTGAATAGGAGTTTGACAAGTAGAAAAGCAATATATAGGCATTCCAGGTATAAAAAATTATGTGTAAAAGAATAAGTCTTGGAAAGATTTCCAGTGGTCAAGGATCAGCAGTGTGATGTGTAGTCATGGCATTAAGGTTGAATGTCATACATAGATACCTTACTCTATTCAGTATGCCAGGGGTCACAAACTCAAATGCCTTCAGAATTTGATGGGTCAAGACCAATTGTAAAGTGTCCCTTCTAAAGGGAGCAACCACTGCTTGGCTCCAGCCAATTTTTTTATGCAGAAAATGTGAGTATATTGTTGTCAGGTATTCTGATTTTTTTCCAAGAAAAGCTAAGATTCTGAAATTTTATGTGACATCTCATATTTTTAAATTTTAACAATTTTAAAAAGCGATATACTCTCAGCACTCCTGTGAAAATAATAACAAAAATAATTCTGTAGGCCAGATGTACCCTTAGGAGGTCTCTCATTTTTTTACGTCTATGGTAGATAGTGAGGAACTATCCATGATATTTCAGGATAGGAAAAACAATTTAGCTGAAAAAAAAAATCATTCTAGCAGCAGCACATGGAGTTAATTGTAGAGGGTGGGACTAACAGAGGTTGTGGAAACAAAGAGGTTGGGTTTAAAGCAGATTCAGTCTTTCAATTGATGTGATGTGATAATTAAGATAGAGGGAAGAAAAAGTGGAAACTGGGTAGACATAGATGTTATCTGAGAATATAAGAAACATAGGTGATTTGGAAAGGGAAAGACCATTTTAGAAATGTTCAATGTGAAGTATCTTTGGGGAAATGGAAAATGCATTTGGAAATTCTGGACTTGATAAGAAATAAAGTGAAAATTTTATTTTCGAAGTCAAAACTTTCCCAGTCAGGCTCCAATTTTCTTTTTTTAAAAAAATAAAAAGATTATTTGAAAGTCAGAATTACAGAGAAATAGGGAGAGACAGAGAGATCTTCTATCTGCTGGTTCTCTCTCCAGATGGCCACAACAGCCAGGGCTGGGCCAGGCCAAAGCCAGGAGCTTCTTCTGGGTCTCCCATGTGAATGAAGGGCCCCAAACACTTGAACTATCTTCCACTGCTTTTCTAGGTGCATCAGCAGGGATCTGGATCAGAAGTAGAGCAGCTGGGACTCAAGCTGGCCCCCATATAGGTTCCAGTGTCACAGGCTGCAGCTTTACCTGTTGTGCCACAACACTTGCCCCCAGGGTCCAGTTTTCTAGTTAAGGATTATTTGATTCTCTGCTTTTAAAAAATACTGTTTGTGCTATCTTTTGGAATTTTTTGCTGTTATTTAGTCATTTTATTGATCATTAGCATCAGCTTCACAGAATAATAGATTTCAGAGAATTTCAGAGCTAAGGGGATTTAATTTAAGTGTCATTTCATCTCCCGACCACTGAATCCTTGAAGGCTTTTTCAACATCACTGGCAATAGTCATGCCATGTCAACTAAGACGGCTCCAATAACAGGAGCTCATTCACTTCAAAAACACTTGTTCCCTGGTTGGATCTCTCAGATCATTTAATTAAAAAAAATTGGCCTTAAAATTGTCTTTTTATCATTTTCATGCATTGGTTCTAATTCTGAGTTACACAGAATAAACAGATAAGCATCAAAGTGGAATAAAGCTGTGGGTGTACAGAAACAACAGATAATCACAAAAAGAAAGATAAAAAAGCACATAGATGGTTTTTGTGCACCACATATTTTAAAAACTACAAATAATTTTGGAAGAGTTTGGAAGTTACCAACAAAAGATAAATGTGTTTTTTTTAAAAAAAGATTCTAACAGAAGCCACTGAAAGAAGGCTTGAGGGATGCAAGGGTCTGGGGAGGAAAGGAACCTTGCTTTTCCTTTTATACTCCTTTATTATTTTAATTCCTTCCATGTATGTATTTTAATCAGAGACAAAAAGTTCCAATTCCATCAGTTTCGGTGATTCTCCCCTAACTCATCCTGCTGCTCATTGCTCATTACATGGCCGTGATACTTTAACCTTCAAGAGTCTTCTTATATTGTCACCCCCTCAGAAATGCATTGATGACCATCTTTTTAAAATGCCTACATGCCTCCACACTGTTATTACCGTGATACTACTTAGTTCATTCCTTTCATATAACTTCAGAATCTATAATTGAGGCTGGTGCTGTGGTGTAGTGGGTAAAGCCGCCTCCTGCAGTGCCAGCATCCCATATGGGTGCCAGTTTGAGTCCCAGCTGCTCCGCTTCCAACCCAGCTCTCTGCTATGACCTGGGAAAGCAGTAGAAGATGGCCCAAGTCCTTGGGCCCCTGTACCCGCATGGAATACTCAGAAGAAGCTCCTGGCTCCTGGCTTCGGATAAACACAGCTCTGGCCATTGCAGCCAATTGAGGAGTGAACCAGCGGATAGAAGACCTCTCTCTCTCTCTCTCTCTCTCTCTCTCTCTGTGCCTCTCCTTCTCTCTGTAACTCTGACTTTCACATAAATGAATAAATCTTTTTTAAAAAAGTATCTATAATTATGTATATATTATTATTTGTTGTCTGTTCCTGTAGTAGATGGTAATTCCTTGAGGATTTGTCACTTTATACCCAGTTCCTAGCATAATATCTGGTATACGGTGTTGAGATTATACTTATGTTTTCTTGAATGAATTTAATACAAAAGGTTAAAAGTGAATTCTAGTATACAGTTAGAAGATAATTAGAGATGTCTATGGTAAGAACAGAATAGGGAAAGGAGATTAAAAATTAAGCAAGTCGAATTAAAAAAAGATTTAGAGACTTCTAGGTAACAAGCATGACTCAATTTTAAAATTGTTAAATGATTCTTTATGTAGTCTCTTAAAATAGTACTATTATCTAATTTAGAATATTTAAACTTTGGTTTGGTCTAAAGAAAAGGAAATATACCAAGTTTTACATGTGTACAAGAAACTGCATCATTTTTTTTAGATAAATTTATTTCACTTTGATCATATTCCCCAAAGAATCACTACTGATGCAAATTAGAATGGCATGCTTTTCTTGTTTGCTGCTTATAACAAATAATTAATTTTCATTTTCAGTTTTGTTTCATCACATGAGAAGGCAAATATTTATTTATCAAATTCTGCTTTGTCCAAGTTTGGTGCATCCTCGATGGCACAATTACCTCAACAAGCTGGAAATGGAAGTTTTGTAAGCAGAAGTACTTCATTGTTTTTCTTCCAAATTTTTCCTGAATACTTAAGCTTTCAATAATTGCTATTTTTACATCAAAACATAGGTTCATTTACAAGAAAGAAAACAACAAAGACTGTCACCAGAGATTCAGAAGCTATGCTTTATTAATTCCTCTCCAAAATCAAATTCTTCAAATTTTAAGAATGTGGAGTTCTTTTTTAGAAATGATGAATGTAAAAAGGAAATTGATGTCAGGTAAGAACTCTTTAAAGACATCTCAAGGTTATACCAATAAAACTTTTTACAAATAGATTTAGCATTCCTTTTCCCTTGGTTCATTTTAAAAAACAAAGCCCAATAATTTTATTTACTAAAGGTATGGGAAGTTTAGACCCCTGGTGAGCTGAGCTCCTTAAGATGTTTCACAACATCAACTATTTCAATTTTTTGAAAAAAAAAAACTGATGCTATTAATTCATTATAAAATTTTATATTTTGATAGACTTATTTTTACTGATTTTAATATAGTATATTGAATATATAAAGTATAAAGTCATTTGAAAAATATAAATGGCATCAGCAATTTTGCAAAAGTTCAAGTTGTATTTCAGTCAATGGACTATTTCACAATTCAGCAGGTTAAATGAAAAACTCATTAAATCTAATTGATGTCCCCACTACTGGCCGTTTTAGAAAGGGAAACTGCAGCAGTTTCTCTCTCCTTGAAGAGTCAAAGATTAGAGACCTGGTCACAATTTTTTTAAATGACATTACTTTCCAGTATGCTTAAAGAAATATGTGAAAGAATCTTGATCACTTGATCCCTACCTTTTACAGTTTACAAAGTCTAATCCCCCCCCCCAGACTTCCTATAAGGTTATAAATATTGTCATTTATTTGATACAGTAACTTCCTAGAAATCTTCAAGGTGTATTTGGTATTATACTATGTAGTGTGTGTTTTAATCATATGGAACAGGCCTTTTTAAAAATATAATTTATTTTATTTGAAAGGGATAGAGATTTCACATCTGCAAGTTCACTCCCCAAATGCCCTCAATAGCCAGGGCTGGGTCTGGCTGAAACCAGGAGCCTGAAACTCAATCTGGGTCTCCCATGTGGGTGACAAGGACCCAAGTACTTGATCAATCACTTGCTGCCTCCTAGGGTACACATGAGCAGGAAGCTGGATCAGAAGCAGAGCCAGGACTCTAATCCAGGCACTCTGATATATGATGTGGATGTCCAAACAATAACCTAACTATAGAACCAAATGCCTATTATTATTATTATTATTATTATTGAAAGGCATACAGAAAAAAGTACGTATTTTAAAATAAATTATGGTACAAAAATAATGATTTTTGCATTTGCTTTTTCTTTTTACTAGTAATCATCCTGATGATGAAGCTGATGAAATTAAGACTCTTCTGGGAATATTTGATGGTATTTTTTAGAACAAACCAAAAAACAAAATACTACTTATATTAAGATGAAGTATAAAGACAACTAATCACAAAACATACTTTTTATTTTTGAAAAGTAGCTTATAATTTTTCAGATGGTTTTCTCTTGAATTTGATCAGTTGTGTTGATTTTAGCAATAAAATATACAAACTGATTTATTTTCCCATTATGTTACAACTGAAAAGTACTTTTACAGTGGCTTTGTTTCAATAACCTGATAACTAAGTTGCCCTTAGAAATAATTGCTTGGTAATTAATTTGATATTGATTGGATTTTGATGAATTAATTTAAAATTTCATGTTTTATATTTTCCTAACAAAAAGAAAGGATTCTCTGAAGGCAAGATAATGTTGTCGGTGAATCCATTATGTGGATTATTCACTAATATTGTTATTGTTTTTTGTTATATTATTTACTGTCTTTGATCTTTAAGAATCCAATGGTTGTTTGAACCTACTCTTATTTAAATTTGAGCAACAATAAATGGAACATTCATCAGTATGGATTATTATCATTTAGCTTGTCATTCAATGTTGTGAATCCTAAAATTTTGTTAACCTTTACTGTAGCTTTTTTATTATTTCCAGTGATTTATATTTCAGATTTAGTTATTGATAGGAAATAATTAGGCATTCCAAGCAATGCTTATTTCTAATTTATTTACCATATAAATCCTATATGAAGTTGAAGCCGACTTGAGAAATTTTAGAAAACATTTTTTATTTAAGTGTCAAACACTTAGAATGAGAGAAGAGAAATTTCAAAATGAGATGATTGTTATTATAAGTAAAAGTTTATGAGATATCATATATATATTTTTAGAAAATATTTTTTATTTAAGTGTCAAACACTTAGAATGAGAGAAGAGAAATTTCAAAACGAGATGATTGTTATTATAAGTAAAAATTTATGAGATATCATATATATATTTTTTTAAAGATTTATTTTTATTTATTTGAAAGAGTTACAGAGAGGTAGAGCCAGAGAGAGAGAGGTCTTGCATCTGCTGGTTCACTCCCCAAATGACTGCAATGGCCAGTGCTGAGCTGATCTGAAGCCAGGGGCCAGGAGCTTCTTCCAGGTCTCCCACATGGGTGTTGGGGCCCAAGGACTTAGGCCATCTTGTACTGCTTTCCCAGACCATAGCAGAGAGCTGGATTGGAAGTAGAGCAGCCAGGACTCAAACTGGCACCCATATGGGATGGCCGGTGCTACAGGCCAGGGCTTTAACCCACTACACCACAGCGCAGGCCCCGAGGTATCATATATATTAAACTTACATAAAAAGCTTAGAACATAACTAAGAGGCATTGTCTCTGTGCTGAAAAGTAAAGACAACAAGTTACATAATTTTAGTCCTTTTTAAATTAGTATGCTTCTGCATCTGAATCAATCACACTACAACTTTTAATGTTCTTAAACATCATTAAAGTGAAGAATTGATGCATTATAATCTGCTCATCTTGCATACATAGACTTGGACACTAAAGAAATAGAAATTTGATTCAAGGTGAATTATTGAGATCTGCTAAGTAAAAAGTACTGTATTTGGTACTGCAAAGGATGTAAATACTGTTCCTAGTCTCATGGAACTTACTTAAGATATAATAAAGTACAACCATACCTCAGAGATATTGCAGGTTTAGTTTCAGACTATTGTAATGAAGCAAATATTGCAATAAATCAAGAATTTTTTTTGTTTACCAGTGTGTATAAAAGTTACATTTACACTAAATCATTGTCTATTAGATATGCAACAGCATTATATCTTTAAAGTATATACTGGGACTGGCACTGTGGTAGTGGGTAAAGCCGCCATCTGAAGTGCCGGCATCCCATATGGGTGCCAGTTCAAGACCAGCGGCTCCACTTCTGATCCAGCTCTCTGCTATGGCCTGGGAAAGCAATAGAAGAAGGCCCAAGTCCCTGAGCACCTGCACCCACAATGGGAGACCCAGAAGAAGCTCCTGGCTCCTGGCTCCTGGCTTCAGACTGGGAAAGCTCCAGCCATGCAAACATTTGGGGAGTGAACCAGTGAATGGAAGATCTCTCTCTCTCTCTCTCTCTCTCTCTCTCTCTCCTTCTCTCTCTCTCTCTCTGCCTCTGCCTCTGCCTCTCTATAACTCTACCTTTCAAATAATAAATAAATCTTTTTTTTTAAAAAAAAAAGTATATACCTTAATTAAAACTACTTCTGAGATTGGATTAAGATGGTGGAGTAGGGAGGGAGCTTGCTGCTCAAGTCTAGGAGAAAAAAAAAATGGAAAGAGTTCAGTCTCAGAGAAGAGTAATGGAGAAAACAGCAGAGGAAACTATGTACATTGGAGAAATGCAGTGGACCTGCGTGGAGGGTGAAGATGCGCACAAAAAACTTAGGACCCCACCAGCCAAGAGCCTCCACACTAGCGCTGGAGAGCAAAGTGAGAGCAGACTGCAGAAGCCCAAGCCACTGGCGAAAAAGGTGCAGGAAGAGCTTAGAGGGAATATCGCTCCCCCTCTTCGCGGAGGAACGACACAGGACCCTGCGCTGTTATTTCGTCTGCTCGGCCCTTCCCGGGTTTGCTGCTGGTCCTTCCCGGGTTGGCTGCCGATCCCTTCTACCTCCATGGAAGGGCGGCTCCCCCTGCCACTTTCCCCACTTCCGCGGGGGAGCGGCACACCGCCGGCCGGCTCTCTCCGGGGCTGCTCAGATGTTATCCGGATGTTCCCTTTAGATGTTCCTGGTGCATGTTGTCTCTCTCCTCCTTTATAGTCCTCTTCCACCAATCCCAACTCTGCTACCCACACGCCGAGTACGCTGCTCTCCTCCAATCAGGAGCAGGATCAGCTCCTGCAGGTTATAGGTCAAACTGGAGGCAGCTGTGTAAAAGTTGTTTACTCCTCTCCCAGCGCCATATTGTGGGAGAGCAGATGCATAGAATAAGTCTTAATTCCAGTAACTTAGTCTAGTCCGAGTTGCTCCCCACAAGGGAATCCACTTGGAGCCTCATGGGGGAGAGTGTACCTGCCAAACTAGAGGAGAAAAGAACAAAGGGGAGGGGCATGTTTCTTCTCTTCCCAATCATCCTGCAATGTCCTGTAATAAGCTGACAGAGAACACGTGCCATTTTGGACATAGATAATAGCTGCACCAGCTCATGTCCTCACCCAGCAACCAGCCAAGCGCAGACTCCTGAGTATGGTGGGGAGAATAGACAGGGAGCTGGGTGCTCATGACTGTTGGAGCCTTGTGTGCTGGGACTGTGAAGACACTGAGGCTGCATGGGAGGATTCAGGGTGTGGCTGGGACATTGGGCAGTCAATGTGGGAGGCTCCATATGCTCAGGACTACCTGGCAAGAGGCATTGCTGGGGAATCTGAGCTCATACTGAGGACTGCACAGATCCTTTGTGTGGTCCTTGTGGCAGAGCAGATGAATAATACACTCACTGGGGCTAGTGCCCAGGCACTGGTCTCTTTCAAAGAGAGAAGCTCAGCTGAGTCTATGCCAACAGACAAGAAGAAACCTATCCTCTGATTAAAAAAAGAGAGATTGACTACAACAACCTGGATGTGTCACCTCAGACATGCCTTCACCCTGGAGCACTGAACAGAGCTCCCTGACCACTCCCACCACATCCTCTAGGTATTCCCTGAAAGCAGACACTTCACTAATCCAGATATGGCCCAAAGATAAAGGCAGCCACAGCAAAAAATCAAAGAAACCAATGAGTATCCCCACAGTTGGCAAATAACAAATACACCAATCCAAGAAACAAGAACAAGGAAGACAACATGACACCCCCAAAAGAACACAACACCTCAACACTAGATTGTGACTATGAGATTGAAGAAATGCCAGAAATGGAATTCAAAAAATCGAACATAGGATTACTTAGAAGAAATCAGAAGCAAATGCACAAACTAATGAAATCTATACATGACATGAAAGAAAATTTTTTCCCACAAAATTGAGATCTTCAAGAGAAATCAAAATGGAAATATTCAATAGAACAAATAAAAAATACAGTGGAGACTCAACAACAGAATTGGTGAAGCAGAAGAAAGAATATCTAACTTAGAAGTCAAAGCACAGAAACTTATACAGTCAGACTAAACACAAGAGGAAATTAGAAAACTAAATAACACTTTTGGGAATCTAGAGAATACTAGCAAATGACCCAATATACAGGTTCTAGGAGTTCTTGAAGGTGTGGAAAAAGAGAAGGGATTAGAAGGTCTTTTTAATGAAATAATAAAAGATGATATTCCCAGTTTGGAGAAAGAAAGGGTTAACCAAGTACAGAAAGCACATAGAACTCCTAATAGACATGACCAGAAAATATCTTCACCATGACACATTGTAATCAAACTCTCCACAGTCAAATATAAAGGTTCTGAAATGTGTAGGAGAGAAACGCCAGTTTACTTTCGGAGGATCTCCAATTAGATTCACAGAAGTCTTCTCATCAGAAACCCTACAAGTCTAGGAGAGAATGGTGAGATACAGTTCAAGTCTTAAGACAGTTAAGTCTTAACTGTCAACCCAGAATACTATACCCTGCAAAGCCCTTATTTATGAATGAAGGTGAAATAAAGAACTTCCATGACAAACAGAAACTGAAGAAATTTGTCACCACACGTCCAGCCCTGCAGAAGATGCTTAAGAAAATGCTGCACACAGAAACACAGAAACATGGTCATCACTATGGATGAAGGTAAAGGAAGGAAATCTCCCAGTAAAAGTGCAAAGGAAATCCAAAGTAAAAAGTAGGAATATTTATGGGAAAATGGCAGGGCAAAGTCATTATTTATCAATAGTCACATTAAATGTAAATGGCTCTTAGCTCTCCAGTTAAAAGTCACAGACTGGCTGAATGGATTAAAAAACAAAACCCATCTATTTGCTGCCTACAAGAAACACATCTCACCAACAATGATGCACAAAAACTGAAAGTGGAAGGAGAGAAAAAGATATTCCATGATAACAGAAACTAAA